TTTGTTCTGTGACAAAGATGGTAGCCTCAAAGAATATCACATAAAATACAGATATAGAGTCCACATTTGATTATCGAAGGTTATTTCATACTCTTTTACTTAACATAAAAACTATTCTATACACAAATATTGTAGTCTTATTCCTGATTTTAAATTTCTCTACCTAGGTGGTATTAACCATTAATTTTTGTTTGAAGTACTATGGTCCAAAGGAAAAAGAAACAAGATATGCATTTTGACAGTAAAAAAATTTGTAACTATAAAGTTGTTTTCTTTATTTTTGTTATTGTTTTTGTACCAGTCCTGGGGCTTGAATTCAGGGTCTAAACGTTGTTTGTGAGCTTTTTTACTAAAGGCTTGCACTTTACCACTTGGATCATAGTTATACTTCTGATGTTTTTGATGGTTTATTAGAGATAAGAATCTCAGGCTTTCCTACCTGGTCTGGCTTAGAACCAGGAGCCTCAGATCTCAGTCTCCTGAGTAGCTAGGATTATAGTTGTGAGCCACCGGTGTCCCACTAAAGTTCTATTTATTTATTTGTTTATTTACTTACTTATTTACTTAACTACTTATTGTCTGTTCTGAGGCTTGATCTCTGGGCCTGGGTGCTGTCCCTCAGCTCTTCAGCTCAAGGCTAATGCTCTACCACTTGAGCCACAGCATCACTTCCAAAAGTTTTATTTTTAATGCAATACAAAAATCACATATTAAAATTGGAATGTGTAAATGCTTTGTTACTAAAAAGCAATTAAGATCTTACAGTATTAACCATTTCTGATCTTTTTATGTTCGATCTAACAATTAACAAATTTAAAAGTTACAACTCTAAGTAAGCACTACAATTTTTCTACTTTGCCAATATACTTGAGAACATTAATTGGTGTTTTATGTTGATTCTGTAGTGGTATGTGGAACAATTAAAATTATTGCTGCTTTTGTAATGATTTTATAATTATGTAGTCTCATTTAAAACTATTTAGCATCTGCTTTAAAGCTAAAACTCATTACTCACAGCATCTAACTAACAGAATATTTTACTATTATATATATATATGAAGTTAGAGTAGTATTTTATAATTGGTATAGAATAGTAGTTTATAATTGGTATTATTTTTCTTCTAGGTGTGATTTCTTACACAGAATATCTTTTCCTTTTATGTATTTTAACAAGTAAGTATACTCATTAAATCTTATTTCTAGATGTACTTTTTATTTTTTTAAAATCTTAATCTTGGAAAAGAGATCTTTCTTAGCTTCTCTTACTGTTGAAAAATCACGTTGGACGTATGTGTACTGTTCTGTAAAATTCATGTCCTAATGCTGTATAAAATGCTAAATTTATCACTATCAGGGTCAAAAACATAAATACTTTTATTTATGGTATGGTAATATGTGTTCATAATAAGATGTATTATCTATCAACCTTTTCAGTTTCAATTTACATGAAACTCCAAAGGTCAAGATATACATAATTTGTAAAGTTCCCACTAAACTCATTTGCATCAGATTTTCTACAAGGCTACTGTGAGAGAATGAGGCTTGACTCCCTAGCTGGTGACTCTGTCAGAATGCCATCTTCTCACTCTTAAAGTACTTTTGCTCTTCTCTTTCTCTCATATGTAGCAGTCCTTAAAAAGTAGGTGAAGGATTTACTAAAGCTTTCAGTTCAGTTTCTTTGCATTTAATGGAGGAATTGTCTGCCATATTTGTTGTGCTCCAGCCATCTGGCCTTTCCATTTCTTGAATTTCCACCTCAGGGATTTGTTATTTGTGCCTTCAATTGCCTTACTCAAGATTCTTGTGAGAATAAACATCATTCAGGTTTCTTGAAAAACATGGAAACTTAGAAATCTTTACTTGAGGGGCTGGAAGGTGGCTCAGTGGTAGAGCACTTGCCTTGCATGCTTGAGGCCCTGGGTTCAATTCCTCAGCACCACATAAGCAGAAACGAAAAAGCTGGAAGTGGCACTGTGGCTCAAGTGGTAGAGTGCTAGCCATGAGCTGAAGAGCTGAGGGACAGTACTCTGACCCAGAGTTCAGGCCCCACGACGATGACCCCCCCAAAAAAAGAAATCTTTACTTGATCATCCTCTCAAACAGTTCCCTTCTTCATGACTCTCTAGTCCATTTTCAGTGTTTTATTTTCTTCATAACACAATTTATTTGAAAGTATTATTGGTTTTACATAGTGTTACATTGAGTTGTAAGATCTATGTTAGCAAAATGTTACATTTTTTCTCCTTTTGTATCAGCACCAATGAACCCTCTCAGAAAACAGTTGGTGAATAAAGAAGGAAATGAAGGAATATTACTCTTGGAATTTCCAATGTGGTGAATACATCTAGAACATGTATTCAAACAAGCATCAATAAAATTCTCATTAGAAGTAGTTTTAACATACCTTGTACTTCTATGATTAGAAAATTCACTCTATGCCATTCTTAATGGTGTTATCTTCAGTTTTGCTTTAGGAAGTTGTGTGGAGGAGAAAATACACACATGTATGTTTCAAAAATTATTTTGTACCGATGGGCTCATACCTGTAATCTTAGCTACTCAAGAGGCTGAGATCTGAGTGTCCCAGCTCGAAGTCAACCTGGATAGAAAAGTCCATGAGACTTTTATCACTAATAAACTACTCAGAAAAGGCCAAAAATAGAGCTGTCACTCAATGGTAGAGCACTAGCCTTGAAAAAAGAAGCTCAGGGATAGTGCTCAGGCCCTAGGTTCAGGCCCTAGGACTGGCCACATACACACAAAATTATCTTATTTTTATTTCTTTTTGTTGTTGTTTTTTTAATTTCTTTTATTCTTTTTCTTCTATTTTTTTCTTCTCAAAACACAATGAGAATAAAATATTACTGCTGAGTAGTAAAAATTGTGCATTGGGTGATACCTGTGTTGATAGCATGTAGAAGTCAAATTACAAGTCCAATTGATGAAGTATGCTAATGTGGAATTAGTGTTGGTGTCAGGAAGTATCTCAAGGATGTAAAGGAAAGTCATTCTGTTAGCTACGATAGCTTTGGATGCAAAAGTATAAGTTGTGAAGACCTGAACAAGCAGAGTTAATAAAAATAGGAACACTGCTGGTTAGGAAAGCCATTAGTAGAGATGGGAGAGGGAGTAATTGAAGGGTACGTGAAAAAGCAGTTTTGTTTTCTTACTTCAGAAAGGGTAGGATCTTTCAGTGCTGTGAAACTTCCTTTGAGGTTTCCAGGAAAATTCCAGGTAGAGATAGAAAAATCTGTGGAGTTTAGAATAGAATTCAGAAAACCATGTGGGACTACATGATCTGTGATGCCTGTCTGTGTTTTTCCTCTCTACCTTTGATTCCTTTACTTTTTTTTTCTCTTTATACAATGCTTAACAAAAGTCTGTATTTTTTTTCAAGAGCTTTTTAAAATCTTAAAAACTTATAGTGTAATTTCCCCCCTTTTTAGTGAATGGTAACAAAAATAAGCCTAAATTCCTAAAAACATTCAAGAAATGAGCTACCATAAGAGTGTGGCTCTGTTTGTTTAAGAGACACCATGACTGGTTAACAGAGTGGGGCTATATGCTTCTTTTTTGCCAAGAGGATTTCACATCAGCAAGTGCGTCTGGGGATGGCTAGTGTGGAGTCCCCTGTGAAGCATTTTGCTAGGCATCAGAAAAGAAAAGTCACATCTTCAGATAAAGGTGTATCTACTGAGCTCCTCTTTGAAGGAGGGCATTTTTTTGTTCACGTTTTCTTCTTTATGCTCTGCAAATGAAAAGTGGAAAGAGCAAGCTCATTGTAAGGTTTGGTTAAATGAGTTCAGAGTAAGTGAAAGACTGTCTCAGAAAAGCACTTGTTACTTGCTTTTTTCTAGGCATTGGAAATTACATATTCAGTCCACCTTGACATTCCCTTTTAAGCCTCTAGAAGTTTAAACCCCAATCTATGCTCTATTCCTATAGGGCATTTCAGTTGTAATTTTTCTGAAGAATTGAAACTGGTTCACCATGTCATATTTTTTTCTTTTTGCAACTTCAAGTAGTTGCATTTATTGAAAAGCTTTCAAATATAATGATAGTTTCCTTTTTTTAACAGGTAAACTTTGGATATTTATTTATTTTGTGTGCCATTCCTGAGGCTTAAACTTAGGGCCTGGGTGCTATCCCTGAGCTTTTGTGCTCAAGGATAGGACTCAACCACTTTGAGCGACAGCTTCATTTCCAGCTTTCTGGTAGTTAATTGGAGATAAAGAATCTCATGGACTTTCCTGCACCAGCTGGCTTTAAAATGTGATCCTTAGAGCTCAGCCTCCTGAACAGCTAAGATTACAGACAAGGGCTAGCTGGATATTTACTTTTAGAGAAAAAGCAATGAAGTGTCGCTGCAATAAGTATCATAAGTTCTTTAAATGTATCTTGTCAGTTCTGTTATTAAGTCTATTAACATATGAAGCAGACATAGGTGTACTCACGCAGCTTTCATTACACTTAATAGTAATATACTACTTTTAATTTCTTGGTTTAAAAGTATTTCTATGTGGAGTCCATACTGCTTGCCAAAGTGGTTGAACAAATTTACACTCTCACCAGCAATATAGTAGGGTTTCCTTCTGGCCACATCACCTCCAGCATCTGTTGTTATTAGAGTTCTTGATTATAGCCATTCTAATTGGGGTGAGGTGGAATCTCAATGTTGTTTTGATTTGCATTTCTTTTATGCCTAGAGAAGTTGAGCATTTCTTCATGTGTCTATTGGCCGTTCTTATTTCCTCTTCAGAGAAGTTTTTCTTTTAAGTCTTTAGCCCATTTATTTATTTATTTATTTTTAAAGCATCATTTCTTCATTTTTTTTATTTTTTATTGTGAAAATACTGTACAGAGGGGTTACAATTACATAGCCCACTTATTTATTAAGCAGTTGTTTCTTTGCATAGAACTTCCCTATGACCCAGCAATTCCACTTTTAGGCATTTACTCAAACAATCACAAACAAGGCCATACCAAAGCTACCAGCATAACTATGTTTATCACAGCATTATTTACCATAACTAAGCTATGGAACCAACCTAGATGCCACTCAGTAGATGAATGGTTCAAGAAAATGTGGTATGAGTATACAATGGAATTCTATGTCTCCATCAGAAAGAATGACATTGCCTCATTTGTTAGGAAATGGAAAGACTTGGAAAAAATCATATTAAGTGAAGTAAGCCAGGCACAAAGAAACATAGGTCCCATGGTTTCCCTTATTTACAATAGCTAGTACATGTGTAGGACAAGCAGAAAAGGCCAAAAGCTATGCACATATGACCATATAAGATTATGTTAAGCGAAATGAACCCTAAGATAGGGACACAAATATCTTTTTTTCTTACTTGCTATTGTTTCTAACATTTATAATGTACCATGTGATTTTTTTTGTTGCTTTGTATGTTTCTCCCCCACAATATTACCCCTGTTTTCACTATATTTGATGTCGGTACCCTGCATCTTGTATATACAATTCTCTAATTGGGAAAGTAAGGGAAAAAAACAAAATGCTTAAATAAGGATACAGGTTGACCCATTGTAACAATGAGATGTACATGACACTGTGTTGAAAACGAACTTTACAACTTCGGTGGGGGCGGGGGAGGGTAGTTGTAGAGGTGGGAGGAAAGGGATGGTGGGAGAAAACAAAGGAGGAGGCAATCATGCTCAATAGGAAATGTACTCATTACCTTGCTCATGTAACTAATTCCTCTGTACAACATTATTACAACAAAAACGTACAAAAAGTGTATTTATATAGCATATGTATAACTTTACAACTAATATAGATTTTGTGATTGAACATTTTTTTCTTTTTTATGGCAGAGCCACATGCAGGTTTTAGGATAGCTTTCAACATGTTTGACACTGATGGCAATGAGATGGTGGACAAGAAGGAGTTTTTAGTGGTATGTATATTATAAGCATTTTCTCAATCATTAAGTATTACCTTATATTTTTATGCTTTTGAATTATTTGGAGTACTACTGTTGAGAGAAAGTAAAAAAATAGATTTTTATCTCAATTTAATAAACAAGCACATATTTAAAATAATATTTAGATTGTGAAGGTATGAATTAGTATATTCTACTGGGAAGTTTGGATGTGTCAGGTATGTTTTACTGGATGGATAAAGGAGATTCTAATTTCCCAGTTAATATTCACTCTCCATTGTATCAGCCACCTCTGGTCATAGCTCTTTGCCATAGGATCTTTCTTTTCTTATCATAGTAAGTCTCATGTCTTCCGTTGTCTTAGTGACTAACAGCTGACAGCTTTTAGGTGTTTGTCCCTTGGCATTTCTGATCTTACTGGTGCAGCGTCCGTCCTGGTCTGACAATGTCACGTCTTCAGTTGTGCTCACTTGTCCTACCTCTCAGAATTTTTCTTTCTTCTTACTTGTGTTTTCCTCTTTATTTTATTTTATTTGATTGTAAAGATGATGTACAGAGGGGGTACAGTTACATAAATAAGGTAATAAGTATGTCTCTTTCCATACAGTGTTACCCCTCCCTCATTTTTTCCTCTCTCACCGCTTCCCCTCCCTCCCCAAGTTGTAAAGCTCATTTCCAACATAGTGTCTAGTGAGAATTGCTTTTACATTGGTTTATCCTTTCTATCACTATTTCTGTGATCTCTGTTTTTGTATCGATTCTGCTTTTGTTCTTAAATAAAAATGAATGTTAGTTCTTTAGATTATTTATTCCACTTTAATATTACAAAAGCTTGCTTTTCTTTAAAGTTGTAATTGGTCTTTTTAGTTGCCTCATATTTGATATATGATTGCTTGCTTGCAAAGAACTCCTAAGAGCAGGAGACAAAGTTGGACTAAGTTATTTAAAGTCTAAAATTTTATCAAGCAATATTTTTTATTTTCAACAATTATCAAAGGTGAAATAAAACTGAGATTGTTGTTCAGATTATGCAGACCAGAACAATGAACTCTGATGAAAGAAATAGAATTCCACTTCTTTAAGTTACAGAATTTTACAGATGAAATAATACCATTTATAATAATATTAGTTAACATTTACTGAGAAGCTTCTATGGAATAATTAGTAAGTAATCAATTACTTGTAACATTTATTTGAAACAAAATTCTATAAAGTAAGGAATTTTCTCTGTTATAGATAAGGAAAACAAGCCTTAGATATTTAAAGTAACTTTCCCAAGAAATTATGCCTAGAAAGCCTATTCTCAGTCACCTGAAAGACATTACAGAGGCTAGTCATGATGTTACCTACTGTTTTCACATAAGAGCATACTGGAGCTCCATGAATGTTGAGTGCTCTAAGTAATAAAATTAATATGTGTCAGAAGCTAGACTCCAACCCAGAGTTGTTGAGTACTATTCCAATATCGTTTATATCCTAGTAGGCTTCATTTTTTTTTTCTGTGTATATTTCAGACTGCTTATCACTGTGTCTGGGTGAGAAAATATAACTAACATTAAGCACATTTAACTTAACAGTGTTTTTCAGTACCAAATAATATAATTTTCTTTACATAGGAAAATATTAAAATCATATTATACATACACACACATATAAAGCAAAGTAGTTTAAAAGAACTTGGCTAATGAACTTATTTTCATTGTTTCTTAAGGTCTACTTAGCACAGAGTGGTAAGTAGATGCCTCAAAACCTTTGATGAATTTTGATTCTTAATTTTTTTCTTTCAGCTTCAAGAAATATTCAGGAAAAAAAATGAAAAGAGAGAAACTAAAGGAGATGAAGAAAAACGTGCTATGCTGGTAAGACATACTTACAGTAATTTCCAGTGATTTTTCAGGTGAAAGTTTACTCATGTTGAAAACCAGTAAACTAATACTTTGGAGCCTGTTTCTTTCTTGAAAACTTTCTTATGCACTTAGGTAGAAAAATTGCTTCAGTATTTATATACATCAATATCAATATTTGCTTCAAATATTGATATTAAGCATCTGTACCCATAGTCATGGTCATTAAATCATTTTTCATCTGTACTGTTGTTATCTGTGAGATTTGAAGGGTATATTATATAGTGGATTAATACAGATCATTATGCATGTAAAAATTTAAAGGTGAATTGCAAAGATTTAATTATAATGTGAATGAATTTAATGATAAGTAAACAATATGAATGTTGAAGCAAATAAAAAGAAAAATGTTTTCTATTACTAGAAACAATTACTATAAATTATTTTTATATTATGCATAATATTATTGTCTATCCTAAAGTTAGAATTAAAGGACATTTCCTTCGATCTTCCTAACAGGTTTCTGTTTATCACAAATATCCTATATATAGGCCAGTTCACTTAGTACAAATAACAAGCAGATTTAGAGACCTGATTATCAGGCATATGCTAAGTACTTTGCATGCATTTACTTCATTTAATCTGTCCAGCTATTCTCTTATTGTCCATAATGAAATATGAAAAACTGATCATTTAAAAAGTTATCTTCACTGGGAGAGAGCGAGGGAAGGGGTGACATTGCCCAAAAAGAAACTTACTCTTTACTTAGGTAATAACTGTAACCCCACTGTACATCGCCTTTATTATATAGGTATTAAACAAGATTTGAATTTATAAATAGTTCCAAAACCTGCACTTTTGCCATTGTGCATATTCACTACTACTTAGACACTAGGAATAGTGAATTTTGTTGGTATGCAAATGTTAATTAATCTGCAATAAATGGTTCTGTGCAGTAACTTTACTAGTCTACATTAAGTTAAAATTATTACCTATTTCTATTACTATATATATTTCTTAGTTCTATGTATTAGCTTTTTTAATACCTTGAACTGCTATAGCAGATGGGTACAATATTCAATCCCAGTATATTTAAACACATATTACTTCATAGGTATTGGCTGTAGCATAATTATCAATAGTTGATAAACCTTCAATAATATACTATTGAAAAATGTTGAAGACAGTCTTTAAAAATTAAATAGCTTATTGTAATGTTAGTAAAGCAGTAAAAGGGAAATTAGTAGTAACCTAAATCAGGTCTCTCAAATAGTAATTAATAAATCCTATAGCAATAACCCCATCAAGTGTATTAAAGAAGATTAAATTAATTAAATTTTATTTCTTATGTATAATATACTGAAAGAATAAAGTTATTTTAATTTTGGTAGATTATTTTTACCAATAATACTATAGGCAAGTTGTTAGTAAAATATTTAAGGAGTTTGAATTATGATAATAAATCTGTTAGTAACAAAGTAGTATTTCAATGGACAGGAATTTAATTGTTTTATTTGTAGTATTTCAGAGAGGATTTGTGGATCTTCAAATAAAAATATAATATGATTTTCATCACTAACATTTATTATTTAAATATGTATACCTGGTAACAAAAGTGGAGAGGAAAGAGAAAAGCACTAATACACAATAGGAAAATATTTGTGCAAAACTTGGTTCTGAGCTGCACTGAAATCAAGAGAATTTAACATAAATATTTTATAATAGTGATCTAAAATAAAATCTTAACTTGGATTAGTTAGGGCACTAACTGTTGGAATTATGAAATGTATATACCAGCTTGCCCTGGGTTATATTGTTTTATATGCATATAGTTGAATAAAGCCTTCCCTAGTAAATATATCAGGATGGAGACTTAGTTAAAGAACAGATAAAACTAACATGTAAGTAAAATAAGCACTAAAGTAAGGACTGCAGTAAGCACTAAAGACATTGGTCTTTTCAGAAGTGTTTGTCTTATGTAATTTAAATAATACTCTTAAAATCTCATTTATATAATTTAACTACCAGATTCATTTTTAAAACAATTCAGGTTTAGTACTTAGTTTAGCCTCTGATTAACATCATTATTTGGTAATATAGCTCTCTATAAATACTCATTACTATGCTTCATATTCGTGATGATAATTGTAACTTAATTTCAATAATGCTAATCTGAACCGACTTTTTGAATACTAGGGATTGAATTTAAGGCCTCTTGCTAGGTCATTACCCTACTACTGTAACCATGCTCCCATGCTTAGTTTGCAGTTCAAATAGTGTCTCACACTTTTTCTTGGGCCAGCCTCAGAATATGATCTTCCTACCTCTACTTCCCAAACAGCTGGGATTATAGACATGTACCACCGTGCCCAATATATGATTTTCTTTTAGTTACTTTGTAGAGGATCCTGTTGAATGCAGTGTTGTGTTTGTCAAGGTGATAGAAATGAAAATTCCAAACCTTCTTTTCTTTTTTTTTTTTTTTTCTGTACTGGGGATTGAGTATCTAGCCTTGTGCTTGCTAGGCAAGCACTCCACTGCCTTAGCTATGCCCCAGTCCTTTTGCTTTTGAGGCTTATGCTTTTGTCCACATTGGCCTTGGACTGTGATTCTCCTACCTCTGACTCCCAAATAACTAGGACTACAGGCAGCACCAACACTCCTGACCTTGTATATATTATTAAAACATTTTTCTTGATTTTTAAAAGTCTGAAACTTAACTTTTTTAAAATATGGTTTGCATCAAAGAGATATTGTAACCAGAAACTTAAAAGCCAGAATGAATATATATATATATATATATATATATATTAGTATTACCTCTGCTTCTGCCACTCATTGCTTGTGTGATCTTTGAACAAGATTCTTTACCTCTTTACCTCTGTTATTTTTATAGTTGTGGGTAATAGAAATAATGACCACATTGATTTTTTTATAGGGATTAAATGAATTAAAATATATCGCTATTAAACAGTATATAAAACATATAAACTCCTAAGAGTAGCTAATGAAAGACTGCATAGAACCACATAACTAGTTACTTTAAACTGAAATTTAACATACCCAAATAAAATTAAACCCAAACTAAATTATAAAATTTTTTTATATTAAAATAAAACTGCTGCAGAAGGAATGAAATGAATACAGCCCTCGGTAAGACACTGACATGCTAAACTCTGTGCTATATCCATAATAATTGTTATTCCCATTTAGTCCTCGTTATAGTTTTCACAGGTAAGTTTTGTACCTGTTTTATGGAAGAGAAACCATCTTGAGTTAATTTGTTTAGTGTCATAGCATTGATAGAAGCAGAGCAGGATTCCAGAGCAGATCTCTCATACCATTTCCACTTTCATGCTGCTACATCTAGAGTTTCCCCATCCCATGTAAAATTTCTGAAACTTGTCTAAATAAAAGTGCATATGTAAAAGGAACATGTTTTACTCAGTGCAATAGTGCTTCTAGGTTACAATGAAGATGTTTGAAATGAGCACAAGCTCATTTACCGTTTAATTACATTAGTCTTAAAACCTTTGCTACTCATCTTTAACATTTACCCCACTTGTATCATGTGCGTGCTCTATATATAGAATGTAGCATAATGATTTGCCCTTCCTAATTGATTATTTTGTCGCCTTTTTCTTTTTTCTTTTGCTATACTTGGGTTCATTCTGAAATGTGACACTTCATTTGGCCCTTTGTGCTCTATGTCAGCGTCTTCAACTTTATGGATACCATTCTCCTACTAATAGTGTATGTACAATACTTTAAATGTTCCTTATGTATATAGTCTTCACCTGTTATACTTGAAAATGCTATTACTTTATATCTATTATCACTAGAATGTTTTGGAATTATTGAATAAATAAGCTACAATCAAGTCAAATTTCTACATTTCTTTCCTAGATTTATGAGAAGATAAAAATATATAGAGCAATTATGTATCTTTATTAATTGCTTATTTTTAGATTAAAATAAAGGAAAGATGAGTGGACAACCACCACCACGAGCTCTGGTAGAGTAATTGAAATTTTATATTTTTCAGTACTATATGAAGAATTATTTGTAAATAATAGAACAAATGGTTTATGCTTTTGCAGAACACAGGTATTTTTAAAACTAAATATATCCATCTGATATATAGTCTTTGATCATTCCTAATATGATATATTAATGGATAGACATTTTTAGTTTTCAGTGTTTCTCACTTTTTTTCCTAAAAGTTTTGTTGCATACATCTTTTTTGTTCTGGTCTATAAAAATATGATATCAGATACTACTTGGTATATTTAATATATGAGTATATTATGTTATATTCCAAAGAATGTTGTGAGTTTTTTAGACTTTTCTCTTGAAAACTTGGGAATCCTTATGAATGAGCTCCCAAATGTATTCTTATGCCAAGTTACCATCTTTCTTTTTTCTTGAGCAAGTTAGAGTTTAGTAGTTAACCCAGCTAGTAACTAACCTACTAAGCACAAGCTGTGGACCTTTTTTACTGTAAACCTGCACAGTTTATTTCATTTCCCCAGTAATCCTTCAGCTGTTTAAAAAGATCTCTCAAATTGGAAATTCTGAGAAGCCCTTGAGTTCAAGATAACTGTGTCAGTATTATGCTAATTAAAGAGTTGTAGCTGTCATTCACAACTCTAAAAGCAACTGTAAAAACTAACTTTTGTTTAGATTTAAACATACAGTGGAGGAAACTTAATCATAAAGTAAACAAGATAGTTTTCATAGTCACTAGGAATGTACCTAGAACGAATGAGAAACAAGCTTAGGGGATTAATGTGACTAGTGTTTTAATCCTTATAAGAAACTATAATGTTTTCTACTACTTTGCTGTTGTTTTCCATTAAATAAAGTCTATGTTTTTTTTAAAAAAAAATAAGGTTGTCTTTGTTAATAATATCATATATAAAATGAAAATTTCAAAAATTATAATTCCATAGACTCTATGAAATGTATTAATACTTATTATTTTATGATTTATTTTTCAAATCTACCATCATTGTATGAGACTTTTTCTGTGAAAGCTTTAATTGTTCTTTTAACCTCATAAATAATTTACATGTAGGATGATTTTTATTAATTATTAGTAGTAGTTAACTGAATTTCATAATATAGTTAAAAGGAAATGATCCTAGAGTACCTTACCTAAACTGCATATACAAATTGCAATCACTCAGACATGGAGAAGAGTATTAAAATGACTCAAATTACATGTTTTGTTTATATCATACTCATTTATTTAATAAGAAAATATTTTTTATTTTTAATTATTTTACCAAAGATGGCTTCCATATGCAAAATGAATATATTAAAGGTAGATAACGATGTTATTTTTATTCAGTCTTAATGGATTACATTTTTTTTTTCAACTCCCTTGGGAGTTCCTAGCTGGCTTTATAACTTTTTTTCCTATTTTAGAATAATTTTTGCTCACAAAGAAATGTTATTTTCAAAACCTGTAAGATAACAGGAAAATTAATTTAGGATTAGAAAAATTCAGTCTGAAAATGTATTCAAAATACCATGGATGAAAGTATTGCACAGATATATTAGTGTAATTTTATAATTCCACTGAAAATTATTTTCTAGTTTCAAGAATTGTAAATCACTCAAGTGATAATCTAACCTGAGTGTTGATCATGGAGCTGCATATTAGAGATTTCTAAGAACCAGTTTTACCTTTAATAGAAAGCTTCTTCAGGAAAAGCAATGGTCACCTTGTCTTATAAACCACTCTCTGGCCCCTGTAGTCTATTTAATCACACTTAAAATAGACTCTGCCAATTTAGTCAAATTGTTTCCTGCTACAGAGAAAATTTGGGACTATTCCCTTGTATCTATGAACAGTTTTGGTTGTTGTTTTGTTTTTAACCTTATCTAGCTTTTTTGTTCCAAATAACTCAATCCTTTTCATTTTTTCATACCATCATGCTCTCAATTAGCTTCCTAAAGTGATGAAAATAAATATAAGAATATAAAAGAATAAATCATTTTAAAAATCAAGTATACTTACTTTAGCCTTCCTCTTGGGATATTTTTATAGATCATTCTAAATTACCTTAATTACATTGCTACTAGAAAATACATCTACATTTATACCATTTCTTTAACATGTTTTGAGAAGTGTTTTAAGGCTAGAATAATGCCAGTATTTATAAGCAGTCTTTATTTTAAAAGAATATATTCTTTGATTTATAGTAGTGCCGTGATATATATGCATATATATGCATATATTTTACCATGCTTGTTAGTTATATGTTTTAAATCTGTCATTCCTGGTATCTTTGTCTGCTTGATCCATCAATTAATATATTAAATTACATATTACAATGGTAAGCTTATTTTTACTAATAATCTTCTTAATTTTTGTTTTGAAGAATTACTCTTACCTGTGTTAGAATATAGATGAGTTCTATCTTTTAATAAATTGCCTTTTCTGTGCTGTACAATACTGGAGTGTATTTTTGCCTGAAAATCTGTTTCACTTATCAAAATATATATACTACCTTTATACATACATACATACACACACATATATTTTAGTGGTACTAGGGTTTACAACTCAGAGCCTTGTGCTTTCTGGGCAGGTACATTACAATCACCACACATCACACTTTCCATTGGTTGAACTGGGGTTTCACCAACATTTTACACTGGCTGTCTGCCCAACTCCAGCCCTATTTTTTGCTTGTTATTTTGGATATGAAGTTTATGGGCTTTTCTGCCCAAGCTGGATATGAACTAGAGTCTTCTGGATCTCCTCCTGAATAGCTAGGATTAATGGGCATGAGCCACTAGTGCCTATCTTAATTTATTGATTTTTATTTCTATAAGCAGTGGTTTTCAAAGACTTGGTTCTTGTGACTATTTCACATTGTTCAAAAGAGATTTTGTTTCTGTAGATTATATCTACCTATATTTATCATATTCAACATTAAAAATTAGAATTTGAAAATTTGTATTAGTTTATTTTAAAATATCAATGAAGCTGGGTGCTGGTGTCTTATGCTTGTAATATTAGCTACTCAGATGAAAATCCCAGTTCAAAGCCTAACAGCAAGAAAGTCCTTGAGACTCTTAGTTCTGATTAACCACCAAAAAGCTGCAAATGGAATTGGAATAAAGTGCTAGCCTTAAGTTCAAGCCCCAGGACTTTTGCACACACACACACACACACACACACACACACACACAAATGATTATCCTAATCATTCAGAAGTAATCACTCTATTTCCATATATTTGCTCCCTTCCTATGATTATAAAACACAGTTTATTAAACCAACTTTATCTCATCATATGTTGTAAATATTTTTATAATGTTAGGAAGAGGTAACTATTGTTTGACAGTAGGCAAAAGACACAGATTCACCAAAGGAAACATTCCTATTATTCTAACAATAGTATATTGTAAGCTTTATTTTTTAGTTTGTAGTTTTGACAATACTTTTCAAAGTCATCTTTTCAAATACAACTTAAAATGAATCTGTGTCCAAAATATGAAGAAATTTGAGATTAAGAAGTTAATCTAGCATCTAGACCTACTTTATATTGCTTAGGTAAAGCTTATTTAAAGTTGGAGTGATGAATAAGTTCCCTGTCAGCACTACAGTGATACTTACAGTGCTACTTACTTCTGATTTCTACGTGAGGTTTCTGCTAAATTTTTTATTGTTAACATTTATTAAACTTTGAGCAATGGGCAGTGTTTTCTAGACAATAATATAATTAAAATTAGACATCTTTTGTGATAACTCTTAGCTATGCAATAACTGTATTAATGGCACTAGATATGCATTTGTTTGTTTACTCAGTCAAGGTCTTGCTATATTGTCAAGCTTTGAATTTGGGATTTAAGCAATTTTCTGTTATTCTCCAAAGTAACTGGTACTACAGGTACATGCCACTGTACCTCACTGATACTCAACTCTTAAAAATTAGGATGAAAAGGAGTAAAGAGAGAAAAGCTCTCATGACAGTGACTACTTTTGGCTATTTTTGTTCATACCTTGAAATTAGGCTTAGAGTTAAAGATTTTCACAGGAAGATTAGATTATCTCATAATTTTGACATCTTCAGACTAGTCAATACTGAGAATAAAAAATGTATATTCTACAAAATTAAGAAATTTGAGAGGAGGGAGAGGGTTGGAGTGGTGGGGAAGAATGATAAAGATGCATTATATTCATAAACTAATTTGTTGAATGATAATTTCTTGGCACGGCTACTTAAAAATAATAAAATAAATGTTTTAAATGCTAGTGTTCATAAAGACTTGACAGAAGGCACATTTACCAAATTCCTTTTCCCTAGGCTTTGAATTAATTTATGATGTATATCACTAAAGTCTGTATAAGCTTGCTTTGATTTTAGCGCACTAACAAGATAGATGATAGCAGAAATAACTAAAGTATGATTTTAATTGGTTTACAAAATCTTCAACATATGAATTTACTCCACACAAAGTGTGAATAGAATTTCTATTTCAAACTTTCTAAGAAGCTATATATATCTCAATAGAAGGGCAGAGGGAGGGATGGGAGAATTTGATTCCACCTGACAAAGCCACATTGTACTTAGCAATAGTGGTTCTATACCATTACACCCTTGAAAGCACCCACGGTTCCCGTAGTGTAATAGAATACTGTTGTATGCCGCAGAAGACAAAAGAGGTAAGCTAATGTGTTTTCTTTTCTTTTAAGGTTTGTTAGAAGAGGTTTAAAGTGTATAAATTGTCATTCTTTGTGACTATTCTTTAGATTTCAGTTGTTCTTCTTAACACTTCCACAGGTACTTAAAACAGATGCTGAGGAACTTGTCTCCAGAAGCTATTGGGACACACTGAGACGTAACACAAGCCAAGCACTCTTTTCAGACCTCGCAGAGGTATAATTAAACCTCAACAAAGGTTCTTGTATCATTTGCCATTTTGCTAATCCAGTCCTTGTTTTCAGAGTCACCAGATAAAACCAAAACTATATTGTTTTCTATATTCTTCAGTAAAGTCATAATTATTGTAAACTAAAAATTGCTATATGGTATATATAAATATATACATATGATTTATATAGTATATTTGAATATGTGAGCTCTGCTGATGGGGCTACAAGGCTATGTGCAATAACCTGAGTTAAATGAGTTTACTTACTGTGTAAGACACAGCTGCTAATCTAATTAAAAGGAAATAACATTAAATTTTAATTAAGGAGCACTTCCTAGAAATTTAGGAATAATAATATAGCCTTAGAGTTTCACTCAATATTTTAACCCTTCAATTTATAATGGTACATGAAATGCTAAAACATTTTCATCTAGTAAAAGATAATTGAATCTTAGGCTAGATTAAACACTAAATTTTCCTATATTAATAGTGAGTGGTTTGCCAAGAACCAGGGGTATGGAAGAAGAGTATTTCACCTTGACGTCATTTAGATTGCCAGTGTCTGGTAAAATGAAAGCAGGATGGCACTATTGTCTTGATTGAGAGCTAATGTACCTCCTTGTTGTATTCAGTAGACTGCCTCTGTCATCCCATTCCTGTTATGTCACTGTCAATATTCATTAGAAAATTACATTTATTTAGAAAAGTTTACCTTATCTAAAATTGCACATGGAAAAAGAGAGGTAAACTACAATGAGTTTTTGACTTCTTTCCTTCTGATTTTCCTTTTCTTTTTATTTTTTGAGATGAGGACTTACTCTGTTGTGCCGAGCTCAAGTGGTCTTCACACCTTAGCCTACCAAGTAGCTGGGACTATAGATGTGTGTTCCTGTGCTTAGCTTGGTTGTAACTTTACCTAGTTATACAAAATTTACTCACTTGGCATCCCTAGTCTAGGCAAATACTTAAAAACTGTTAGTTTTGTTGCTCATGCTCAATTTTAGTGTCCAGACCAAATAGGTAATGCATTTTGCCTATTTTTATTCTCTCTGTGATGAATAAATACGGTATAATCATGACCAGCTATATTACCTTTTAAAATCAACTGTTAGCTTTGAATAAGGAAAGAAGTGACAAATGTTCCATTCAAATATCTTAGAAATGCTTATTTTGTAATCAGTTATGTAGGTACACAGTAGTCTGTACATAAAAATAATAGTAATTAGAAACAGTATTCCTGCTAATGTCTACAGCCAGATGTGGCCTAACTTCAAATTAACACATGGGTCACATGGTATATCCTTGTGCTGATAGAAAGTGAAGAAAACAAAAGAAAAAGAAAAAAAACTTTTATTTTATTTCCATATAAAGTAATTGTTTGGGGATTATACTATTACAACTCTTCTGCATTAGAGAATAATAATGATAATGAACTATAAGTTAGAACTGTAATCCTTTATAAGTTCCTATGGATACTATTATAACAAACTTTAGTATAGATACTATATATAGTATATTCTACTATTAGTATTTATAGTATAGTATATTATAGCATTAGTATTTCAGGATTAAATTGGCTTAGAAAACTTTGAAATGTATTTGTATTTCTTTGTTGTATATCTAATATTTAATTATTAAGGTAAAGTAGGTCTCTTTCATTATTATAGGTAACTTGTTTATCAGCCTCTCATTTTCTTATCCCAGAGAAGTTTCTAACTATAAATATTTTCAATTTAGTAAAATATTTTTGCACTTAGTTTAAAATGGTATAATACAAATTTGCAAATATCAGAGCTATTACCATTCACTAACCAAAAGTATATGATAAATTCAGAATATAAGTTCAGTTGAGTATAGTTGATCAGTACCAGAATTATAAATAGTACTTTGAACAATACAAATGCATTTTTTTACATTTGCTTTAAATTCTACTTATCCTTAATAGTTTTTGATAGGTTATTGAAAAGCTTTCATTGTATCATGAATTTAAAGATTTTCTTCATCACTTGTGTACAGCTTAAAATTATTTAAAAATTGGGGCTGGGAAGGTGGCTCAGTGGTAGAGCGCATGCCTTGCATGCCAGAGGCCCTTGGTTCGATTCCTCAGCACCACATAAGCAAAAAGAAAAAAGCCAGAAGTGGCGCTGTGGCTCAAGTGGCAGAGCGCTAGCCTTGAGCTGAAGAGCTGAGGGACAGTGCCCAGGCCCAGAGTTCAGGCCCCATGACTGGACCCCCAAAAAAAAAAATTATTTAAAAATTATAATCAGTGAAAATATGTTGAAAAGCTCCTATAAAATTTTTTCCATATAATGAAGAATTTGTATGCAACTTTACTTCATTTTTTAAAATGAAACCATTTAAAGTAGATATTGTTTGATTGATTCATTAATTTATTTATTTTTGTTTTTTTGTGGGTCTTGGGGCTTGAACTCTGAACCTGGGCGCTGTCCCTCAGCTCTTCAGCTCAAGGCTAGCACTCTACCTTACCACTTGAGCTACAGCACCACTTCCGGTTTTCTGGTGGCTTATTGGAGATAAGCATTTCATGGACTTTCCTGTATGGGCTGGCTTTGAACCTCATCCTCAGATCTCAGCCTCTTGAGTAGCTAGGATTATAAGCATGAGCCATCGGCACCTGGCTACTTGTTTATTTTTGATGCTGTGGATTGAACCCCAGGTCTGATGCATGTTAAACACCAGGCTACTGTCCCACCACTAAGCTCCTTGCCTCCAGCCTAAAGTAATTCTTAATCAAAACAAAATTAGATAATAGACTTTTCTGTAAATGGTCCATGTGTTCTTTTGTGGCTTTTCTTGCTTTGTTATGAAAACACCTGAATTTATTTTATTTTAACAATGAGCATAGAATCAGAGGGATAAAGTCTCTATTTTTGTCTCAAACTTCTTATGATGTAAGTTACATAACACGGTTATGGTACCTAGGACATTGGTATTGCTTTCAGTGACTCTAAGCAGTACTGAGTTTCACTGAGTGGGAGGGGATTCCCCATTTCCATTTTTAAATTTTTTTTCTCCAGTGTCAAACTGTTACTTCTGCTTCTGTGGCTCTGGATTATCTGGGTAGGTGCAACCTGAATCTAATAAGATTTAACACTGAGACTTGTAAGTAAAGATCTGCTCTGCTCAGTGAGCATAAGAAGATCTGGCCTACTGAGGTCATTATTAAAAACCTGTATGCAACAAAGGCATCTCAGTTATAGTACACTGTGTCTTGAGACATGATGACATCACAACACTGAAGAAAGATATTCCTAAATTATATCATTGGAGTTATCTAACATGTGGTGATCTGGGAACTTCTCATTTTAAGACTCTTTTTGAAAGTTATACAGCGTTTATTTTCAATAATAAGCCATGTTTGTCATGTCCAGTCCTTTAACTAATTTGGCAAAAATAAATAGTAATAAATAGTATTTCTTGAATATGGTATGCAGAGTGCTAAAAATTTACATGTTGTCATTATAACTACATTTTAGGATGCATTCTATCATTCCCAAGTTATGCTCAGAGATCTTAGCTTCTCCAAGTTACATAAATACTATTAGTCTTCACTGCCAGGCACCTGAATCCTAAGCTCATCCTTGAGTTTACTCATACTACTGCTTTTTTGTGAAGAAAGCAGATTTTTTCAAAAACATCTTCCTCAGCAATTTCCCACTATGTCACATTGTCCCCTTTTCTCCTGCCCAGCTCTCTAGCTTCCAGAGAGACAAACTCTGTTTTTTCATGCAGATAGACTAGGGCCTCTTTCTTTTTAAAAAATACATTTTTATTGTTATTGTAAAGGTGATGCACAGAGGGGTTACTGTTACAGAAGTCAGATAAATGAGTATATTTCTTTGTGAATAGTGTCAACTCTTCCCTTGTTTTCTCCCCGTTTATCCTCCCAACCCCCCTCACCCCCCAAGTTGTACAGTTCATTTTCAACAGAGTGCCTAGTGAGTCTCACTGCTACATTTGTTCACCCTTTGTCCCACTATTTCTGTGTCCCCCTTACCCTCCCCCAAACAGATAAACCTAAATACAAGACAAAAGGTAAGAAATCAAAAACAGCAATAGAGGAGAAAAGAGAAAATAAAACACAAAATAACAAAAAAAACCTCATTTCCATTTCTTGGAATTCACTTTGATAAACATCATTTTATATGATCATATGCACATAGCTATTGAGCCTTTGTGATCCTCAAAAAAATGGAACGCTTCACAAATTTGCTTGTCGTCCTTATACAAGGGCCATGCTGATCTTGTCTGTATCATTCCAGTTTTAGTATATGTGCAGCCAAAGCCAGCACAAGCCTCTGTTCTTACACTTAGTTTAAGACATGATTCTGAGGTATTTCCTCCCCTTTTTAATTTAAGCTGTTCCAAGGATAGTAAACTGGTCATACTATATTAAATCATATCTGGCTCCTTTTCCCTAAATGGTGTTTGTAACTTTTGACTGCCAGTAGTAACATTTGTATGCTCTATTTGAAATCACATCTTAACTATCCACCCAATTGTTATCCATACAATGATTTCCATTTTACAGCTTATAAAGCCAAAAGTCAAGAAAGTCAGTGAACCCTGGACTATTTAACAGCTTATTCTCTTCTTATTAGAGAGGCGTGGCTCATCAACTTAAAGCTACTGGTGAAATACTACCTTTCAGCATTAGTTCAAATTGTGTTGTCTCATCTCACGTATGGAGCAATGAGCTACTACCACCCTTATTCCTCAGTAGTCATGAGCTGTTTTCAAGATAGATTTAAAAATAGTGCATGACACTTGGCCACCTGGCTATATTTTCTTTTAGCAATTAGCTCAAAGTACTATCAGATCTTCACAGACACTGGGCGTGTCATAGGGAATTTCTTATATATTCCAGCTGCTGAGAATACTATGGACTTCTCAGCAAATGAATATAGAATGAGTAGTAGAGGTCTTCTGAACCAATTCTAAGGAGGTTATGTGCTGGAGATGGACTAAGAAAATATAAATTTGCTTACTTCAATATCTATAGAACATTTAGAGGATTACTAAAAAATTTCAACAGTTTTAGATAATTTGAAATGTGGATTCCCTCCATGCTAGAATTTTTAAGAGAGATACAAGTAATTAAGGCAGTAGAGTATCCTTTAGGAAACATTTAATGGACTAATGGGACAAGTTAGAGGCAAAATCAGAAGGGGTAATCTCCACTATATTATACTAATCAATAGAAGAGAAGAAGAATATTTGGTCCAGCACTACCATCCCTTTTTGCTTTGATTATTCCAAGATAGAGTTCCAATTTTTAGTTGAGGCCAACCTGGACATGATCTTTGTATATATGTTTCCTAATGTAGCTCCTATGACTGATACATCCCACCCTGCCCAGCCTTTCTGTTGAGTTGGAGCTTTATAAACTTTTTGCTTGAGCTGGTTTTAACCATGATCATAATCTCAACCTTCTTGAGTAGCTAGGACTACAGAGGTTACAGGCTTCATGCCTGTAGTAGTTCATCTACTACACTCAATTCTGAAATTAATTTCCCACCCAAGTCAAAGAATTATATAGCACTTTTCTTTGAAAAATTATAATGAACTCCAAGTTAAGTTTCTGCTGTAGTTTCTCTTTCAAAATACACTGTAATCTACCCAGAATATCATAATTATATAACAATTGAAAAGTGTCCTGGTTAGAGGAAGCTGTTTCATGGAGATATTCTTACATCAGCTTCATATACTCAATATAAGAAATTGCCTCTTGTATTTTTCAGATTGACTAAAAAAATCAAACAAAATTACTTAAAAGAATATTTAAATCTTTTCTAAAGGATTTAAACTATCATATAAAATGTAGATATCCTGTGGACATAATTTGAGGTCAAAAACTTCTCAAACTATAATAATGTCTGGCATTTTTTGAAGATAAAGATCAATTTTGTTCCAATTTCTGTTATCAAAATTCAAGCTTCATTTTAACTATAATTACATCGATTATTATACCATGAAATTTTCATTCTAATGTTAATACCTTTTCATTCTTGATATTACTATGTTGATAAAAATCTGTTAAATTGTCTATTTTTCTATTGCAACTGACTTTTAAATTGTTTCTTTCTAAGCGTGCTGATGACATCACAAGTTTAGTTGCAGATACTACACTTCTTGTACATTTTTTTGGAAAGAAAGGAAAAGCTGAGCTCAACTTTGAAGATTTTTATAGGTAAGTTTAAAAAATTTTAACTGGAAATTGTTGGAATTGCTGAAGTTGAAAGGGGGTTTGCAAGTCATCTAGTATAGAGGCACCACCTCGTTACTTTTATCTTAATTGGAGATGTTGTGTAACAAATATCCATTTCCTATAGCATTTGTGAACCAGTGGTTAAACTTATAATTATGACAAGTTACTGAATGACAAAAATCTTCATATATTCTCATTGTGACACCCTGTATATTAAGAAGAAACTATGTTACCAGTGCCGTAGTCTCAAGTAATATTGATAAGCAATGTGTCATCTCTACATTGGAAGGTACTTTATAACTTCCACTTAACAGATGGGGGAACTCAAGCCCTCTGTTATTGGTAAAAGTTCTTATAGCTTGTGCTTGCTTTCCCATTTACAGAGAGGAAGCTAATGAAACTGTGTATCATCATATAATTAATTTTTTCCTCATATCATTCTCTAGAAGAATAAATATTTGATCATTTATCTTGCTTATTCTTATACTTTGATCACAGGTTCATGGATAATCTCCAAACAGAAGTTCTAGAAATAGAATTCCTTTCCTATTCTAATGGGATGAATACTATCAGTGAAGAAGATTTTGCTCATATTCTTTTACGTTATACAAATGTGGAAAATACATCAGTGTTTTTGGAAAATGTGCGTTATAGTATACCTGAAGAAAAGGTATCTAATTCCTCTTATTTATTTTGTTATTATATACATTATCTTTGCTATTTTGGATAAGTCTACAAAATGTCTGGCCCTTTTATTAGTTCTCTTGCTTCTCTGTAAATTAAAAATACTTTTTTCCTTTGTTTCCTAAGTGCTGTTTAAATTTTAAAAACAATTTTTAATTCTGGCTAAATGTTCATATATTCTTGCAGAAAATCCTTACAGCTAAGAATACGATTTTTCAAGAGTATCCTGCTAAGTTATATGCTTTGTCTAGAACACAAACATCACTTCATATAAAAGTTTGTATTGGCATTATTTCTGTCACCCTCTGTTCATTTCTATAACACCCTAGTGAAAGGTCATTTAAAGAGCTCTATTGTTGAGTGAGTGATCTTATCAGCAGTTGAAGTGAGGCTTTTCATGGAGTTTGGATGGAATGAATGGCTAAGAACCTGGGACAACTGGTTATCTATTTGTTTGGTGGCAAATGTGTTGTCAGCACTTCTGAGCAGTTGCATTATCTAGTGGTATTTGAATGCATCATTGCAACCAAATAGAACTGCTGTCACAAGAACCCCTTCAAGCATGGGATGTTTTGGATACACTGCCTTCTATTTGTTTATAGAAGGATCAAGTTAGTCTACCCAAGGAAAACTTGCAAATAGTTTAACTTTGTGTAGAATGGATACACTGTGACAATGTTAACAGTTCTCAAGACCCCCCCCTAAGGAATGAGAAGAAAAGGAATTGAAGCATTTGGCTATTAGCTTACATTATCTTTTAATCTGAGGGCTTTTATCTGTTTTCCTAGTTAAACTGGGCTTTTCCAACCTATAGATAAGTCTCTTAAAAAAATAAAATAAGATATTGGAAACTGCACTACTCTAGCTATTAGGGCCTATGGTGGTTTTCTTTATTTTTTTTTTCTATTAGATGAAAACATCAAAATGTAACTCAGAATGTTAAGTTCTAGGAGCAATGATGATATGCAAACTCTATCTAGTGTTTTTACAATTGAATTGTTTGCTTGTTTTTGAGAGGTGTATGTAACACAGGCTGGTCTCAAACTTACAATCCTACCTTAGCTATCCAAGAATTTAGGATTGTAAGCATGCACCACTATACCCAGCTGTAGTTGATTATTATGTCTTGTTTGTATCTCATTTGAATATAAAAAAATTGTCAAATTCAGCTTATGAAAATGATTAATTGATAGAAGTTTTAAGCACTAAAAGTCATTGGAATAGAAATGGAAAATTTTGCACCAACATAGTGACTCAATTTTTTTTTCTGAATTACGTCATCAATTCTTTAAACAAACTTACAAATTTTAACATCTTTCTTTTCCCAAAAAGGAAGCCAGAGCTTCTAAATACTTAGTCTTGTCCAAGGATTAAACCCAGGACTTTCTAAGCTAACAATTACTTCATCACACATTATTTATTTCCCTTTCTTCTACCTCTCATCCTTTTCTTTCCAACAGAAAAAGAAAACTTCTACTATTTCAGTGACAATTAACATTTTAAAAATACTTTGATTTTCATTCATTTTTTCAAGCAGGTATTAAGTGTTTAGTATTTATGATGCCTTATTCTAGCTGCTAACAACAAAGTAGAAAGATAAATACATCCTTCTGTAATAGAAACAAGATTTTAATAGAGGCAAATTAAGTAAGGACAGAATATAAATAAATAGTATGCTTTCAGACAATGTAAAATACTTAGAAGGAGACCATGAATCATGATGGCTGGTAAAGCAGATGGACTGTTAGGGAGAGCGCTTCTGAAAAGGAGCTTTTGAGAGAGCCTCTGGGGAGTGAACTCTGCAAAGGTATGGATGAATCAGGCAGAGGTGACAGCATGTACCAATGGCCTGTGAGGGAAACAAAACCTTAGTTTATTTGAGAAGTAGCCAGAAAGAATTTTTCTGAACTAGGAGAGACTATGATAATTAGGATGCTGCTGCTGCTGCTGCTGATGATGATGATGATAGAGACTGACTAACAGACATTTTAGACCAAAGAGAAGAAAATTAGATTTAATTTTAATAGTGACTCTTAAGAGTATTGTTTTTGATTACTTTTGTACCATAAGGTTAAAGAAGTTGCAGCATAGACCATCTGGACAGCACAAACGAATATATTGGCCTTTTATAAAGAAAGCTGGCTAACCTTCTCTTAGACTTCATGAATGACATCTGTTGATTCAAGCATTGACCATCTACTATGACACTCATTTGATATGCTTCATGCACCTTATATAATGTGATTGATGTTTCAATTTATGTCTCAAAAGATCATTTTGGCTACTATGTAACAAAACAGACTTTAGTATGCCCAACTTTGAAGGAAAGACAAGATTCCATTTGAAGAATTTAGATAAAAGATAAGCATTGCCTGACTAGGACAAAAATAGGGAAAAGAAGTCATATATTGGATCATTTAAAACATAGGGCTGATGAAACTTATTTGTAGCTTGTATTGCATTTTGAGAGAGAAAGATGAATCAAGGAGAATTAGGTGTTTGGCCTGAACCACAAGTTGAAATGATGTTTAATATTCCTACAGGCTATTCAAGTGAGGGTTTTACACAAGAAGTTGGGTATATAATCTAGCATTTAAGGATAAAATTAAACCTACTGAATATTAGTCCCTGGTATTTGGACTTTCAGAGTATGTCTCCAGTTAAACCTCTCCCACTGAATTTAGCTTTTTATAATGTACTGCCTACTCAACATGAGGATCTGATGGATATCTTAATGGTTGTAAAACTTGTTTCATATCTCATCACCCATTTCAGTTCATAGAAGCTTCATTCTTCCTACTCTACTTCTTAAACATTTTCACTACACCAAAAATAAACCCTACAAATATTAAGCCATTTGTCCCCATTTCCATTACCTTTTATCCTGCAAACATTGTAGTGTGTATCTCTGTGAACTTACCTATTCAAGATATTCCATGTAGTCTTTACATTTCCAATCAATGGAATCATGTAAGATGGAACCTTTCATTGTTTTTATATACTACAAGTTATTTATCATCCATGAACATTTGTTCTGGACTAGGGTTGCTAAGGATATATGTGTACTTGAGTACTACTTACCAATTTTTCATGTATATACCTAGAAGTAGAATTCAAAGTAGCATATTTTATTTTAGGCTTTTTTGTTGTTATAATATGTATTCTACTCTATTTTTCCATACGGCTATATGTTACTGTCTAGTTTTCTTTTCATCCTGAAGTACTTTCTTAGCATTTTATTTTATTTTTGATAGGGAAGGTCTGCTAGTAATAAAAATCTTCAGCTTTTGTTTATCTAAAATTCTCTTAATTTCTTCTTTTTTGAAGGTGTTTGCCCACAGTCCAAATTCTTGGCTGACCTTCTCTCTCTCTCTCTCTCTCTCTTCTCTCTTCTCTCTTTTATCACTTGAAATATATTATCCCTTTTCCTCTGGTCTCCATGATTTGGCTAGAAATCAGAGGTTGGGCTTACTGAAGCGTCATCTTCTTGTACCTGCTTACATGATTATTTCTCTCTTTTCTAGAAGTGTGACTGTGTTTTGGAACAAGTCTCTTAAGTTTATCCTACTCAGAGTTTATTCCACATTTTAAATATGTAGACTCATATCATCCATCAAATTTAAGAAGTTTTCACCCATTATTTCTTCAGCTATTTCTTTGGCTCATCTCCTTTTCTGTCTACCTTCTTTCTGTCCCATAAAACATATGTTATCACACTTGATGATGTCCCAGGGCCTCTGTCTTTATGAATTGATCTAATAGTGTTATTTCATACAGGTAGACTCATACATATATGGTTCGTTGTGTCTGACTTCCTTTACTTAGCATAACTTCTTATGGTAGTATCTGTACTGTGGTCCGTTTTATTGCCAAGTAATACTCTAGCGTGTAGATATGCTAGATTTTGCTATCTGTTTCTCAGTTGTTGAGTATCTGAGTTGCTTCTAATTTTGGCACCCAGAAATACATGTAAATATGTAATATTTCCAAGAGAATTTGCATGTATTTTGGGATAAATGACTAGGTCACATTACCAACCCTGTGTTTAAAATTTTGAAGAACTGCCAAACTGTTTTCCAAGGTAACTTCACCAATTCTACAACCCCACTGGCAATACGTGGGGCTTATCATTTCCCCCTATCTTTGTTAACATTTATTATTGTCTGCCTTTTCTACATAGTCATTCTAGTGATTGTGAAGTGATACCTCACTCATTTTGATTTGCATTTCCACAGTGACTGATTATTTCAGCAGTTTTTGTGTATGATAGCCTTGTATAAACCTACCTCAAAGAAACTTCTATTCAAGTCTTTGGCCTATTTTTAAATTAATTTGTTTGTCTTTTTGTTACTGATTTTTGAGAGTCCTTTAGACCTTCTTTATGTATTATTCCTTTTTATTGCAACATTTTCTTTTTTTAAATTTTATTGTATTTTGTGTATAGGAGGGTTACTGTTACATAAGTCAGGTAATTGAGTACATTTCTTTTTGACAGTTACCCCCTCCCTCATTTTCTCACGTTTTTCTCATTTCCCCCTCCTACCCCCACCAAGTTGTGTAGTTCATTTCCAGTGTAGTATCCAGCGAGTGTCACTGCTGAATTGCCTCACGCTTTGTCCCACCATTTCTGTGCTTCCACGTCCCTCCCCAAGCCAGATAAACTTATATACAAGGCAAGGGACACAAAAATCAAAAGCAGTGACAAAAGGGAATATACCAAATGGAAGGGGGGGGGGGGGGGGAACAAACAGTACAGTTTAAAAAAGAAAACAAAAACCTCCTGTTTCCATTTCTTGGAGTTCATTTTAATAAACATCATTTTATATTGACCGCTATGGTCCTCTCCTAATAATATCCTCCTTGGTTCTCATTGTGTGAGTATTTAGAGTGTTGTTTAATTAATCATGTCCAAGTGCAATTATTTGTCTATCCATTGGGTTTCTGTGTAGATTTATAGGCACATTCTAATTATTACAAATGAAAGAAACCATATAGCCTGTTTCTTTGGTTCTGGCTTACTTTGCTTAATATAATTTTTCCAAGCCTTCCCTTTCCTTATAAATGAGGCAATGTCATTCTTTCTGATGGAAATATAGAATTTCATTATATATATTATATATTACATGTATATTACATATTATATATATAATGTTTTCTTGATCCATTTGATTATTGTTTATATGTTAGGCCCTTATACGACATAGATTTGCAAGCCTTGTCTCCCAATCTGCTATTTTTAATGTCTACAAGTTTATAGTTTTGATCTAATTTATCAATTTTTTTTGTTTGTTGTGCTTTTGGTTTCATGTGTTAAGAAGCCATTGCCAATTCATTGACCATAGGATTTTATCTCTGGCTTTTTCTAAGGGTTTTATACTTTTAGTTTTAAATTTTAGGTCTTTGATTAATTTTGAGTTAATTTATGGACAGTGTGTAAAGGTTTGCTCCCCTTTTTTTGAATATGTATATTTAGTTGCCCAGACCATTTGTTAAAGAGCCTTTTCTTTCCTCAATAAATGGTGATGGTACTCTTGTTAAAAAGCAATTGACCAAATATAGGTTTATTTCTGTGCTTTCAGTGTTATATATTTTAGATGCTTTGTTTTACATTTTCCAGTCATTATTGCTTTATCTTTGTTAGCAAATAGGCTACTTCTTTCCTCTTACCTTTATGGAATGTGTACCATTCAAATCCCAGTAGTTCATTATAGTGGTAATTCTAGGAGACAGCGGAGGGAGGTAGGAAAAAGAAATGGCCATGTTCATCTCTTCTCCCCTCTACTGTGTCTCATGTTCTGGATGATTGCTTGATTATCTCCTTCAAAATAAAGATACCACTTATTGTTTCATATGTTTAAGCACAAGATGTTTAACTTATACAAAGGTATTATTGATGCTAGTATCTCATGAATGTAATCAGGAGGCTGAACTAAATGATTATGCTTCCAAGCAAGCCCAGGCACAAAAAGCTTTTGAGACTATCTCCAAAATAATTAGCAAAAACTTGGCTGAAGATGAGGCTGAAGTGATAGAGCAACAGCAGTGAGGAAGAAAGCCAAGCAAATGCAAAAGACCCTGAGTTCAAATCCCAATACTGGCAAAAACAAGACAAAATAAAAAAGGATTGTTTTATGTTTTTGAATTTGATCTGTATTACCATTATATTAAAAATTAAGCCTAAGGTATCGGCCCTCTGTTCTTCTCAGTGTACCTATTCAATTGTGTTAATTGTGTTGAAAATACACATACTAAATGTAGTTTCTCAAGTTCAGATTTGTATTCTCAAAGATAGCACACTTACATTTCAAATAACTTTCTTCTCTAATTCAAGCTGAATCGGTGGTAGCATTTGTACTCTGCATGTGACATTCCAGAGGCGGCTGCTCGGGCTCTGGTGTTGGGCTTGGTGCTGGATCTGCGCAGTCAGTACTTCTTCCTGATGTCTTGGCAGCAAGTTCAAATAAACTATTTATGCTTAGTAAACATTTTGAGTTTGCTCTGTCAGTGCGAAGATGTGATCTAGTGCTGAATCATATTTAAGGAGTACCTATGAAAGACAAACTTGTTTATAGATTTCATTTCTTTATCATTATATTTACACTGTTAAAAATATTGGGCCTTAACATTTTTATTGACTTGACAGTAGGGAAAAAAATCACTTATTATGTTGACAGTAACACTATTCATTGGAAATAAATCTGAGTGAATCATATATTCCTTTTGGAGACAAAGTTTCTAAAATGTGTCCTAAAATAGTTACAAGATATACTGCAAATGTTTAATCACTTTTCTTCTATTTTTTAGTTTATAATACTTACTTTAATAAATTTGGATGCACTAATTACATTTCTATTTATTTTCCAAAATTAGGGCATCACATTTGATGAATTCAGGTCATTTTTCCAGTTTTTGAATAACTTAGAAGACTTTGCGATAGCCCTCAACATGTATAACTTTGCAAGTCGCTCTATAGGACAAGGTAAGTAATTGTTCTTCAAGAGTTAAAAGCAGAGCCAGGCATGTTGCGACCTATCTATAATCCCAGCTACTCGGGAGTCAGAGATTGAGAGGATTGTGGTTCAAGGCCAGCCAAGGCAAAAACTTTTCAAGACTATGGTCTCAACCAAGAAACACGGGTTGGTTGGTGGTTTGCATCTGTAATCCCAGCTATTAGGAGGCCTAGAGAGGAGGATCATAGGCTTAGACTAGCCTTGGGCAAAATATGAGACTCTAGTCACAGAATAACTAAAACAAAAAAGGGCTAGGATGTGGCTCAAGTGATAATACACTTGCCTAGTCACAACAAAGAAAAGTTAAGAGCAAAAAAAAAATAATAATACTCCATATTTTTTTAGAGATTTTTTTCCAACAGGTTAATTAAATATGCTGTGATTTCCTGCTTTCAGTGTGAAATAGGTTCTGACACTTTAAGAAGAATTTAAAGAAAATATTCTAAATATTTCACTGAACATATTTTACTCTCTTTCATAATAAAGAAAAGCTAGGCATGTTGGTTTACAGTGTTTTAAAAGTTCAAGGAAGAAGGAGCCTCGTGGACTCAGTAACATGGACGCGTGGCCAGCTAGCTGTGCCTCAGAAATTCTACAGGACGCTGTTTATCCTACTGATTACCCCTGCTAGCTCAAACACCTGAAATTTCTCATCGGAGCCCCCTCTTCACCATGAACTTAGGATAACTGACATAAACAACTGAAGGGAGGAAGGGTTGATTGTGGTTTCTAACTTCAGAGGTTTCAGTTCATGATGGTGGAGAAGGCGTGGTAGAACAGATCTGATCATTGAGGCCTGAAAGCAGAGAGAAGCAGGCCTCCTCTTTCATCTCCCTGTATTCCATGAAGATCCCTGCTGTTCAGGGAAGGTCTTTCCTCTTAGTTCTGTTGGGAAACACTATTACAGTCACACCCAAAGATGTGCTTTCCTAATCTCTGAGCTTCTTAATCCAATTAAAGTGACAACCAAAGTTAAACATCAAACTGACTTTTCAGAATGATGTATAAGATCAAATTGGTTTAACTTACATAGAAATACAGCTTAGATAGAAATACATACAATGCTACTACCTCAAAACTAGCTCACTCTTACCCTGTAGACTGAATAACAAGCTAGAATTATTCTAGGATTCTATGGTTAACAGTCATCTTCTATATCCTTGTGGCCTTATCCTTGACATAGCAAGACTTTCTGTTTTTTTTTTTTTTATTATTGTAAAGATACTATACGGAGGGTTACAGTTACATGGGTGAGGTAATAAGTACACTTCCTCTTGAACATTGTTACCCCCTCCATTGTTTTCCCCCTACCATCCCCTCCCTCCCTCCCTTCCCCGAGGTTCTTTTTTTTTTTTTGATTGTGATTAAGTGATTACATAATTTCAAAGTCACAAGTTCATTCTAACTTTCCTGGAGCAAATTGTCTATCACAGTCTGTAATATATAACAGTGTTCACATGTTATATACCATATTTGTGATCAGCAGCATGGGGATATTTAGTAGTGGTTCAACCAGATGAGCGGGAGTTCTTTGTTTCTTAAGTCCTGTTGGTTTTGTCACCTAACATTTTGGATTTAGCATCCACTTATCAGGGAGACCATGTACCGTTTGTCTCTTTGCTCTTGGCTTACCTCGCTCAACACGATTCCTTCTAGCTCCATCCATTTCCCTGCAAATGCCATTATTTTGTCATTTCTAATGGCTGCATAATATTCCATTGTGTATAGATACCACAATTTTTGGATCCATTCATCTGTGGTGGGGCATCTAGGTTGTTTCCATATCCTAGCTATTGCGAACAGTGCTGCAATAAACATGGAGGTGCACGTGTCCTTGTATATTGGTTCCTGTTGTTCAGGGTAGATGCCTAGAAGTGGTATGACTGGGTCGTAAGGGAGGTCAATCTTTAGCTTTCTAAGGACCCTCCAGACTGCTTTCCAAAGTGGTTGTATAAGTGTACATTCCCACCAGCAGTGTAATAGGGTTCCTCTTTCTCCACATCCCCTCCAGCATTTGTCGTTGGCTGATTTGTGGATGTGGGACATTCTGACTGGGGTAAGGTGGTATAAGTTAATATCTTGGCTCAACATATTTCAGGCAGGAAGGAATAGCCATAGCCATTAATCAAGATATATTGTACTCATAAGCTGCTTTGTTAAATGGCAGCTCCTTTGTATAATTATTTAAAGATAATTTTTTTAAGATAGTAATTAGAAAAACCACAGGAAGAACAACAGTTTGTGTCAGTAAGGATCTAAATTCAAATCCCAGCCAAACACATACATACACACACACACACACACACACACACACACACACACACACACACACACACACACACACACACAATAGATAATCTATTTTATAGCTGCATTTATTTATCTACTGAGTAAGAGAAACCTGAAATGGTTCACATTTTATTTTTTCTCTAGATGGGTGTTCAAACACATCTTCCCAATCCATTTTAGTGTTTTCGAACCAAAACTTTTGGAAGCCATACCTTCATTAATAAGCCCCTTAACTAGTATTATAAACCTTTATAAATAAGATAAGCCGGGCACCGAGTTTCTCACTCCTGTCACCCTAGCCTCTCAGGATGCTGAGATCTGAGGGCTGTGGTTGGAAGCCAGCCTGGGCAGAAAAGTCCCCATGAGACTCTTACCTCAAAAATTGGGAGTGGCGCTGTAACTCAAGTGGTAGAACTCTAGCCTTGAGCATGAAGAGGCTCAGGCTCTGTATTGAAGCCCTACAACTGACAAAAAACAAAACAAAACAAAAACAAAATAATCAATATCGGTTTACTTAGTTTAGAGTAGACCATTGCTCTTTTTGAAATCAGAAAATGTAAGAAATAAAGTGTCACTATTCCAAGTATTGCTCCCACTAGCATCTTCTTTGAGTTTTTTCTGTGTAGAACTGTAATAGTAGCCACCTATATCCTAGCCTGTCACACTGTCTGTTTTCCTTCCTGATGTTTCTCAGATAACTCTCAGCTGAAGCCTTCTAAAGCACAAGTTAACCTTTTCTTTGACACATCTACTATGGAGGCGTCAGTTTCCCAGTTGCCCATTAGAGTTACACGTTCTTCACCTCATAGTCTGTAGAGCTTCTCCTGATCCCTCGTGTCCTCTGTGCTCTACTCAAACCAGACTAAGCACTGTTCTTTCATTGCCCATCTCTTCCCTCTCCTACTCCCTACTGCACAAGGAAGATCACTCATCTCTACAGGTCCTGGTTCTTGGTTGGTAATTTTTCTGTGGCTACATGTAGTGGTTATTTGGACTTGTCTGCCATGTGAACTGTTTGTTGAAACTTATTTATCTTAACCTCTAAAAAATCTGTTACTGATAGTGGATGCCCTTTAAACATTCATTGATTGTGAATGTAGTATTAACCTGAAATACAACTGCTTATTGCTTTCCTTATTAAGACTACAAAATGTCTTTTTATTAAAAACATGATGATTAATGAAGTCGTGTTATATAATTTTATAATCCATATTAGCAAACAACTTCTTTTGCAACCATTCTAGCAATTAACATATACTAAAATGATGTTAATGGTCTACTTTTTTCTTTTTATGCAACATTTGTCTAGATGAATTTAAACGTGCCGTCTACGTAGCTACTGGACTCAAACTTTCACCACATTTAGTGAATACTGTCTTCAAGATTTTTGATGTTGACAAAGATGATCAATTAAGTTATAAAGAATTTATTGGAATTATGAAAGACAGACTCCATAGAGGATTCCGGGTAAACCTACAAATTTCCTGTCTTTTGATATTCTTTTTGAAATCTAAGGGGAAAACATCTAAAAAGCAGTTTGTGTAAATTTTAAGAATATCATCATCAAATGCTTTGGGGAAAAAACCATGGGTCTCATATTCTTTGAAGGCAAATTGAAATGATAGAATATAGTACTTGTTCAAAACTATAAATTCAGTTTGACTTTTAGTAATTTATTTTCATATTCAGTTAGCTTGATTAATGTCTTTGTCCCAGTTTTGGTAAAAAAGTGTTGCCAAGTATTTTTGAAAAATCTTGTCTGCACATTGGGTGTTCAGACTTGATGAGACACATTTCTGTTAGTCCATCCGAGGCTCTTAACTAGCTTATTCACTAGTGTTCGTATGGAAAATATTTTTTTTCTTGTTAACATGCTAAAAATGCCAACTAGAAATTTAGTGATTGTTTTTTAAAAGCATGCTTTAAAGTTTGAAATATAGTGTGATATATCTAATACAATTCTGGATGTGCCATGAATAGAAAAAGAAAAGAGGAAATCTTATAAAATTAACAGCTAGTAAGTAATTCAGTCTAATCTACACTGCACATGTATCCTTAGGAATGATGCAAGACAAAAATCTATATAGAAAAGAACATTAAGATAAACAATATGTTTAAGATTATGAGGACTTTAATCCAAGCTGCCTTAATAAGATACTATGTACTTGACTGCCACCTTCTAGTTAGTTGTTAACATTTCATGTGGTACCACAAACATCTGAAAAGAAACAATGAAAATCATGTCTTTTCCTCAATAATTTTATCATTGCATGATCTAATTGCATATAAACTATACTCTAAACCTTTGACACTATATTTCTCGCTTAGATGTTATATTTTTAAAAAATGTACATGCTTATTGTATATCTTTGATCATATAGCTATCTATGCACACCAAACTGTTTTATTTTTCAGCTGGCAGATATTAACTGTATATCTTTATGTTGTGGATAATTATATAAGCTAACTAGTGTCCATTTCTCACTTTTATAGTGAGAACCTTTTAAATCTGTTTTATGAACAGTTTTGAAATATATGTGACTATTAACCATGGCCACTTTTCTATGGAATTGATTTTTCCTTACTGGCACTTCTGTAGCTTTTGGTTAGCTTCTTCCAGTCTGATAACCAATCTTCTACTCATAAGTTTGACTGCTTTAGATTTCCATGTATATGTGATATCATGTTGTTTCATTTTCTTTCTCTACATTTGAACATTTTTATCCTTTGTTTTGCAGGGTTATAAAACAGTCCAAAAGTATACTACTTTCAAATCATGCCTGAAAAAAGAACTTCACAGCAGATAAGTATGTTAACTTCTTTCTGCCCACTTGTCCAATAACAGTGTCCAATTTTTCTGTCATAACATTTTTCTGTGATAACATTTCGAAAATAGATGAAAGGGCTAGGGGTGTAGTTTAGTGGTAGAGCCTTGCATTGAATCTCCAGGATGCACATGTGCCTGTGCGTGCACATGCACACACACACACACACACACACACACACACGCACGCACGCACACACACATACATGTACATACACACAAAATAGCCAAAAGATAATTCAATTCTGATCTGTGGTTTAATTTTAACTTATTAGAATGTCTTGATTCAAAAATTTCTATGTTAAACTTTGAGTTTGATCCTGAGGAGAGTCAGTATAATGAATCCTATAATATAATCAATTGTACTTTTATAATCTAGCATCATTAACACCTAAGGAGTTTTTGCTACTAATTGGAGGATCATTATTCTGAATTTCTTCCAAGTTTTTGAACTATTACTTAAGGTGCTTGACACTGTAAATCTTCTGGTACTTCATTTACTTCCTATTTGACCACAGAGAAAATCAAGGGTTGGCAAGTATTCTTCAAGATTAGATGCTAGTAAGTGACAGGTCATTGTTTCTGGTGGCAAAACTGTCTTATTTAATGTTTGCTACACTGTCACCATAAATTACGATAATTAAAGAAGATTCAGAGGATCTATTCCAATTGTACTCACCCAAAGAATTATCTCAAACTTACTAATATTTTTTTTTTTTAAGTCAACTGTAGCTATCTGATTTTGGTCAGTTGTGTGTTCTGATTAGTTAGGTTTCCACATGTAGGTTTCATTGTTTAAAATCAATCAAGAGCAATGAGCAGTTACATTTCACATAGGTAGTTTTTGCTATTTACTCACGCTGGAAGCATCTTACATCTTTTACACATCAATGCATATTTTTCAATATAAGCAAAAATGTTGCTCAGTCAAGTTTGGGAACTATAATAAAATTGGCTAAATAATTTCCTTCTCTACAGGATTTATCATATTTTAATATTTGAGTATTTGTTTTGCCTTCCTAAAAGAAACTATAGTGATGATTTTTTGCAAAGTAGTTGGGAGATCTAGTGATTTATGGAACCACTTCAGAAAATGGCTAGTCTCAAATGTTTAGAGATAAAGAGGCTTATAAGATAACTACTGTGATTGAACTAACAAGAGAAGTTAGGTCTTCCTAATCTCTGTTTTAAAGAATTTTATACTTCTCTGTGAAATCTTAAATGGTAATACATTTAGAAAGTAGGACCATTCCCTTTATACATCCATCTTAGTAGAGTGGTCCCAAAGAACTATAACAGTATCACACTTTCGAGTTTGTGTATCGGTGCCTACAATAACAGCTAGAGATTGCAGTCTCTTTCTAGGGCTTTCTAAGACTTCACATGAGAGAAGTTTCTAAAGAAACACTGAACTTTTCAAGGAAATATTTTGTACTATTTGCTTATATTTAGGATGCTTTTATTTGGTGCCTATTGTTTCACATTTTCATAAGAATTTTGACTAATGTCATATGTCTGAGTTGTATCCTAAGTATTGCTTGTGTATTGTGTTTTTTATTAGACACTCCTAAAACAAAGTTTAAAGGATTTCTATCGATATGAAAAATGCAAGAAGCAAAAATTTCTGAGAGTGGAAGCAGGTCTGAAGCCAGAATATGTAGAAAATGAAGAAAAGAGTGAAAAGTTTTGAAATTTATATATATTTTTTGAACTGGATTCTTAACAAAGATAAAGCGCATCTTCTCACCGCAATGTTAAATACGATCAAGTTGAGCCTTTACCCTGTTTCCTGAACTTTCTGCACTTTTTCATTCCCTCAAGTATACAGGTACTTCCAATGACTCATATGAGAATGTATTTTAATTTTTTTATTTATTTATTAGAGATTTATTTTATTTCAAATATTAAGTATGACCCATAGACTATAGACTACCTAACATAAGCAACACGTTTTCTTTTGCTTTGGACTATGAGCTTATTTTCAGAAAATAAATACTGCCTTCAGATTTGTCTTTGGACCCTTGAAATTTTTAATAATTGCCTGTCATTTATTAGTTGAAATGATTTTGAAAACAAATAGAATTAAGCTATTAAATAATATGATGGTTTACATTGTACTTTTAACTTTTAAGAGTACTGAAGTAACATTGTTTGACTGGTGTAGATTCGTTTTGTTTTTGTTTTGTTTTATTTTTTGGTTTTTGTCTTGTTTTTGTTTATTTACCAAAGTCAACAGGATTTCTGGTCCTTTTTAATGTAGAAAGAAATGTGAAATGTAGGCTAAGTAAAGACATATCTTGACAGTTAGAAGGAGGGACAGTTGTAACAAGACTCATTGTTACTATTTTAAATACAGTATTGTTCCTGAATGTAGTGGTATGTATTAATAGCACTAAATAGTACCTTGAAGCTCTGTAATTTATTGCAAATTGTTAATATATATTCATAGCATCAAAGTGTGTTATAAAGACTAAAATGATTCAGAAGACCGATGTATATTTCAGCAGAAGATAATATTTTGTTTCTTGCAGAAGGACCATGTACAAAAGTGACACAAATACCTAGTAATAATGGATAACTTAAATATAATGCATCATTTCAAAATGATATATCTTACAAGTGAAAATAAAACTTTGTATTGAAAAACCCACAGTCACATTGAGAAATAATGTGCAAGTACTTCATAAATTAATATAAATTTAAACTATTTAAGAACAATACAATGAATTTAAGTTAGTATATTTATATATTGCATGTGGACTATAAGTTCATATATCTTCCTTTTTAAGACATATTTAATGTAAGTTATATACACTCCACTTGATCTTGCTTTTGCATATGAAAATAGGAAGCCCTTTGTTTTTATAAGTTATTAAATGTAAAGTTGGCTTTCATCAGTTTGTTTATAAAAGTAATGTTATTTCCAAAATGTCATTACCAATGATTTGTGTTTGTTATACTTTTTCTTTTTAGTCATTCTTTTTTCAGATATTATTTATTATGTGAATATGAAAGCATAGATTCGTAAGTTTAAGAATACCACATAGTATAATTTAACTTCACCTGTTTTGAATGTTGAGTCAATTGATTGTCTAAATGCAGATGCCTGTTTACTTATGTATCATATCTCAGGTCTTTGTTGTTTATACTGAATGTTGTCAATGTTTGGTTTGCCAAGTAATTGAAAAAAATACATTTCAGTCTGGCTGCAAATTATATTCTCACACACACATTAATCTCACAGATTAAAAATTGAATTAGTCATTCTAAAATCCTTTAGAATGCTGTCATTCTCTCAATCCATTCTCTGTCATTATTACTTATATAATCATTCTTTATTGTATATTGAAATGAATAAGTGAATGTGTTTATAAGGCTGAAAGATAATATAAAATGAGAATGAATATCATATTCTAATTAATTAAAATATAAAAAGAATAGTAAAATATACTGATCCTCTTCGTAATATCACTCTTCAACTTTTTCATATAAAGTCAGTGGTAAAAAAAATCTTAATGTTGTTTACATTAATTTAAATATGTATAAATGTTGTAGTACCTCTATGCTATTATTTTCAGTTTGCCTTCTACAAACTATAATTTGCAAAAGATAAGCTATCCATAAAATTTTAGTATTATATTTTTACAAAAATCCTGTGTAATAAGCATATATGGTACTAATAAATTCATTTAACCTAAATCACAATTAATTATTATTATAAGTTATAACTATAAAACTATATGTCTTCAAGTCTTATATTACCTTAAAAATAAATAGACTTGCCCTTGAATCAAGAAACATTGTACTTTGTTTCTATTCTCCTTTTTTCTTTATTTTTTTTCTGTATGGTGTACGGAGCCAGCGTACTGGGCAAGTGGTCTACCAATGGGGCCACACTTTCAGCTCTTTTGTTTGTTTTGGTTTTTTATTTTGATTTTCAGTGAGGGTCTCATTAGCTTTTGCCTGGAATGGCCTTCAACCTACAGGTTTATTGTTTCTACCAGTAGCTGTGATTATAGGCATGTTACCACGGCTCCCATCTGTACTTTGCTGGTCAATATATCTGTGGACTAATGGCTTTCTGAAAATACCACCTTTAAACTTCGGAAATATTCATGAATTAACATTGATCTTATACACTCTTCTATGGCAGTTGCATACCAGAGAAATTTACCCCACAAACACCTTTGCAGGTAAAAAAATTAGTGTCTTATAGCCTCTTGATGAACCTTAGAGGAATCCCAGTAATATAGATCTGTGGTTAACACTAGAAAGCTTTGCAGAAAGTTTACATGTGACTTAATGGATTATCAATTTTACTTCCCAACCCTTACTATTTAAATGGTTTATAATAATAATAATGACTTTTGGTAGCACTGAGGTTTAAGTCTCAGGAGCTAAAAACTTGCTCAGCCTGCCTGATCAGTTGATGCCCTACTACTTGAACCATGCCTCTAGCCTTGCTTTTTGCTAGCTATTTTGTATAAGAGTCTCACAGACTTTTCTGCCCTAACTGGATTCAAACTTCAATCCTCCAGATTTCAGCCTCCTAAGTAGCATGAAGCCACCAGCACCTAACTAGCCACTAGCACCTGACTAGCATTTCAACTTTCTTAGTAACTCATGAAATAGTGGTTTATCCTACAATGTCATCCCCTATACTATGTGAAATATAATATTTATAATAAAATATAAATAAATATAAATAAATTTTTGTAGTGCATCTTAGAAAATAGGAGTAGACCTATATTGTAACTATATGCACGTAAATATACAGTGCTCCGTTAAAAGTAAAAACATTGTGAGATGGTTTGTTCTGGGAAGGATAAATTTTGCCAAACATTGTGAGAGAGAAGAGGGACAGGTAAGAAATAGAATAGAAAAAAATAATGTCATGGAGAAGTGATCAAATACTTTTTTCCCTCTGGGATTGAGTAGACAGGAAAATAAATGCAAATATAAATCAAAATGGCAACATTTCCTTTCATATTCTATCATACAAACATAGTTTTATAGTATATAGTGTTGGTAGTACACGGGGAAATTTAGTCCTCTCAACATTGGTAAGGCTACAAGTTACAATGTAATTAAAGGGCAATACAAAAATACGTCAAATCTTTAACCAAGGATTTTAATTATGGGATTATACTATCCCAATACATCTATAATTCTTCATGTTGATAAAGAGTATTACTTCATGAAATATTATGCTAAAATGAAAAGGTGGGAGTTTTATTTATGGGTTGACATGATGTGATCTGCAATATATTTTTATGAGAGCAGAATATGCTATACAAAATGTGTGTCCTGCTACTGTTTATGTTCATAGCATACCTTCACTGCATAGAACAATTCTTTGATTTTGATAAAGTTCTACGGACCTATTTTTTACAAGTCAACAATCTAAAACCTTACTTTAAAATCACTATGTCTTTTCTTTTTTCCATCTCTCCCTCAACTTTGCTCCATATAAACAATGGCTTGCTTCCTGCTGACTGATTCAAAGTTTGGCTCCTATTTTTGTTCAGAAAAGAGATCTTGAATCTCCTTGTGCCAGTGCAGTCTGCTCTCTGTGAGTAGAATATCTCTTGTTCACCCTCTGAAGTGTGGGAGAGGAAAGGAGAAAGCTGCAGGGATGTACCTGAAATGTGAGTGTGAGCTAATGAACAGAATGTCAGTGCACGCGGTGTGCAGTGCAACTGTCAGCTGTTCCAGAGCTCCTCTGGACAGCTTTTGGGAAGTCTTCAGTGTTGATTTTCTTCGTTCAGGAAATCATTCTGTTACCAGTATTTTTAAGTTTGATTTGGTTTTGTTAAATTATCTGTTTGTAAGACATAAAAAGTTTGTCCCTGTACTCATTTATATTCTTGCCCTCAAAAACGAAAGCTTTACCTAAAAAAAAAAAGTCCTTTTTCTATCTTGTTAGTACTGTTTCAATGAGTAGGAAAATAAACATTTGTTCAAAACAACATGCAGAATGTAGCATGTGTAGGGAAGTACCCAAAGGAATTCAATGGGGTTGCCTTGAAGGAAGGGACCCTAGTTATAGTTAATGAACTGTTACTGAACTTTTTGAGAGTTTTTAGCTTGAGTTTACTTTTTTCAAGAAAAGCACATTTTTTTTTGAACTTGGGATTTCAGTTTAATAAAAGGGGGAATAAACATAAAGGTCGTAAGTTGGATGGATTTGTCACCAAATCTAGAGTTACTTCATATAGAAAGAGACAATTCTAAGGAAATAAAAGTGAAGTAAAATGACATATGTAATTTTATGAGACTACCACAAAGGTTAAACTTAGTAGCTCTGGAAAAGGAATGGAGTAAACATAGGTGGAAATAGTTACTGGACTGAAGGAGCTGAGGATGGCCGCCATTTTCTATGCAGAACATAGGCGGGGTCACATTTACCACGAGACAGCCGAACTTGGTTCTCAATCTAATTTAGTATGGCAGTTCCTATCTGCATACTTCAAACAAGTAGCTCAAAGCAAGCAAGTAGATGAATCAACTAGCTTAAAAGTAAGCAGATTAGTCTGGTACTAGGTTTTAAGCTGAGGTAAAATGAGAGTTTAGGACAGAATGAAGGACAATAAATTTCCATTCTATGCCATATATTGCCTTAGCAAGCTGTAGTTATTATAAGAGTTAAAAGTTCAAGCTGAAAACTCTACAGAAAGGCACCTTGAAAATCTATACTTTTTTTTTATGTCATTGCTCTTTGGTGCTAAGAGGTTCTCAAGAAAGTGAGTATCTCATGTACCATTTGTGCTATAATATTTAATTACAGTGAGTGTACAGAAGATTAGCTGTCTCAAAGATTCTTTTGAAATCAGATTGCACATCAAAACTGCATTGTGCCTGCTAAGTAAGCAAATTTAAGAAAGAAGAGAAGGTGATGTCAAGATGTATTGCAAAATGAACAAATAAAGGAATAGGATTTGCTAGGTGTTCAGCCTATTAAAGCATAGCAAATGTCAACACTCATTTTGTCAACTAAATATACTTTTTTCCCCAAATTAACAAAGATTCAGCCCATGCAAAGTATACTTTAGTGTTTAGACTAAGAACTAAATGAAGCAACAAGAAAATAATGAATTAATTATACTAACAATTTCTTATATTGATTGATACAGTACTTGCTAAATAAGTATTTTGTTTAGATAAAGATAATTATCCAGGTAGTTATTTAGATAAAGGTACTTGTTGCCCTTTTTTTTTGTTACTTGATTGTAAAATTAACATTTGTGCTTTTGCTCCCAGATATTTGAGGTTTTAGAAGCTGATTTTTTTTATCGTGAAAAAACTGTACAGAGGGTTTACATTAGAAGCTGATTTTTATTTCTGCTCTATAATAACTAGGTCCCCAAATGTAACAGACATTGAAGCATTTCTCCTCGCTAGAGAATTTTCCCTTCAAAAAATAAAATGGATAAGTAATTTAAAAAAAAAAAAAAACAACTCAGAAACAACAAAACAAAAGCTGATCTTCAAGTGGCCAAGGATGGCGGCGACTTGGAACTTGAGGCCAGCTATAGCCATCTATAGAGTAGGTCCTGGGGCAAAGCAATACAGTTTACAAGTAGTTGGAGTTAACAATGGTAGGTAGCCTGCAGGCTGTGTTTTAAAACTAAGGATAGGGGAGAAGTTGTGCTTTAAAACCAGTAACAAGATTCATCCTCTCAGTTTTTTTGTACCAGTCCTGGGGCTTGAACCCAGGGCCTGGGCTCTGTCCCTGATCTTTTTTTTTTTTTTTTCTCTCAAGACTAGAGTGACTTGAGTCATGCTTCACTTCCATTTTGGGGTTTTTGGTTTGGTGCTTAGGAAATGAGAGTCTGATGGATTTTGCTGCCTGGACTTCAAACCATGATCCTCAGATCTCAGCCTTCTGAATAGCTAGGATTATAGGTTTGGGCCACCGATGCCTGGCTATTG